AAAAAAAATTTGTTTATATTATAAAATTATTTTCATAATAATAAATTAAATAACAAGTCAAATAAACTCCTTACAAAGAAAATATAAGCATAAGAAAGCAAGTATATGGTAGTTAAACCCCGTGTGTTGTATAATTTTTATATATAATTTTGTTGTACCATTAAATAAGTAAATGGTAGGTAAAAAAATTAAATACATGTGTAAATACATAGAATATTGTAGATTCTAGTAAAGTTAAAAAAGCTAAGCATTTATACAAATGAAGTACAGAAATCTTCTATTATTTTTTGAGTTGGAATCCACCTATATAGAACTCTTACAAATGTCACTTATACAAAATCTTGACCCATCCATCTCTCTATTATAAATTATTGAGATTTATTAATGTTTTATTTTATGAATGGTTAATTTTGGATAAGTATCATGGGTAAAAATTATTATCTTTTACCTTTTTTGAAAAGTATAAAAAATTCAAACAAAATAGATATGTAGTATCTAACTTATATGGTATTAAAATCTTAAATTCATGTCTAGGGCTTACAAATGAGAAGAAGGTATTCCATACAACCATTGTACCATGTTATTTGTATTTATGGCCAATAACAATTTGACAATTCATGAAAAGTGGAATTGTTCATATAGCTTTATTTATTGTGTAAAAATACTTGGGTAATTTTTTGTATAATTTTTATATGTAATTTTTGACGTGTCATTAAGACGAGTAGATGATAGTCAAAAAGATTAAATAAATTTGTAAATGTATACAATATCATAGATTTTAGTAAAGTGAAAAAGCTAATTATTATATTACATGTAAGATTGTAGAAAAAAGTTGTAATATTTGGTTTCCACAATTAGTCACAGATTGAATTGCTATCATTGTATATATGTACATGTTTCTTACTGTAATAGAATCATCTTTCTACAATATATCAACCTAAATAACCTATTATTGAACATCACACCTCAAGTGAGGTTAACAAATCATTATGCTCTAAATTACTTCTCCAACCAAATGTGAAACATCTTTATTGACACTTGATGCCTTAAATTATATTTATTATAATATAATTACATAATTGAAGAGATTTGGAATATTTGAGATTTTGAATCCTAACTCTTTCAAAATGCATAAAAGCTTTTTGATCCCTAGAGTCACTTCAAACTTTTTGAAGTATATTGTATTATACTATATTTTATTATATACATTTAGAATTCAATTGGACCAAAATTTTGATTAGTCAAATTAATTTAACCGTCCAACATGTGTACTAGAGGTCAAAATAATTTGACCTTCGATTTGGTTTTAAAAACATTGCTTACATTAGGAAATAATTATCTATACAATTTGTCTTTTGTTAAACCAATTGTTGGATTTAATATTTTATTTGTGTAGCTACACATTTCAAATTTCAAGATGATATACTTTCTGTAACTATAGGAATGAAGAAACTTTATTTTTTATTATTTATTTAATGGTCTAAGATTAAGTTTAATTATAAAATAGTTAAACATATACAATTTATTTGAAATTCAACATATATGATTTGCATGAATTGGGAAAAATATAAACTGTATAAAGAATTATTAATTGAATTACAAAGTAAATTTTTAAAAGGTAAGACAAATGGCCACTACTTTCTAATTTTACAATGTTAGGTAATTAACAATTATAATTATATTTTTAATGAATATTAGAAAAAAAATATGCCAACAAAAAATTTGTCAGTTTTTAATTTTTTTCTCATTTATATGTTTATATTGTATATATCACGCCCCAGGACTCAAATCCGTGGGCGCAACAGACGCCATACACTTGTGAGAGGGATCCCACAAATGCACAAGACTCAAAACTTATCATACCACAATCTGATACCACAAAATCTGAAGATAAAATTTTAAAATTTGCCTTGATATCATAAAATCTCCAAATAAAGTCTAACTTACAAGATCATGATTTATATCTAAAATCTATGTTCAATTTACAAGATGGCTAGCATTCTAACTCATCACTCCCCTCGTTTTTCCCCGTCCTTGACTTCGCTTCTTAAAATCGTGGACAAGGAAAAATTATGAGATAACTCAGTAAGTAAATATGGATAGCCCTTGAGTAAAATTTTAGCAGCCTGATAAACAGTTTAACATAACAAAACGTTCAATGATAAACCATTAATACAGAATCAGATTCAGTTTAATAGCAAAGCGTTCAATGACAAACCGTTAATGCAGAAAAAAATTCAATAGTAGTCTCATTTGTAAATCAATAACAAAGCGTTCAATGACAAACCGTTAATGAAGAAGAAAATTCAGTAATAGTCTCATTTGTAAATCAATAACAAAGCGTTCAATGATAAACCGTTAATGCAGAAGAAAATTCAGTAGTAGTCTCATCTATTAGTCATGGTCAGTGTTTAACAAACTCCCACTGGTAGGCGTCAGTAATAACTAGTGTTTAACAACTCCCACTGGCAGGCGTCAGTAATTACCAGTGTTTAACAAACTCCCACTGGCAGATATTAGTAATTACCAATGTATCATCCCATTGGCAGGATTACAGAATGAACTGGTCATATTAGTAAACATGTCGACATGTGCCAGCGTTTGCAAACTCCCACTAGCGGGCGTCAGTAATCATGACTATATCAGAGACAAAACCATGCAAGATTTACAGAAAAATTCCATGTGGGCATGGATTTAACAGAAAAATCAAAATTTACAAAATTCTTATATCATCAGGGCAGTTAAACAAATTCCAAGTAGGCATGCTTTACTCAATGAAAATGAAAATAATTCCATTTCAAATCAATCATGTTCGGTGCTAATAAAATCAATTTAAACCTTACCACCATCTCAAAAACAATTTAAAACATGCTTTGAAATCGAAGGACATTACCATAATTTACTTACCTCAAATCGCACCAAACAGAACACTAATCCCACGTGCTAGAGTGCATAATAATCAAGTACCTAATCAAAATATTTCAAAATTAATACCCATACAAAACGACATATTTAATCCTTTTCCAATTTAGCTGGCAATTAACCCCCATAATACCATATTTATTTATTTATTTATTTATTTTTCTATCCGAAATCAAGCACAAAATCAATTGTGCATTTATATGTTGCATAATACACATAAAATTTTCCCATTTCTCACGGGCAGCACACGGAGAGCATGGCTTTGGCAAACCACAACTCACACACATGGGATTTTCTCTCCAGAACATCACAACAGCCTACTTAAACTAACTCCTACATGAATTAAGCAAAATCATGGTCCCATTTACTGCCGAATCCCCTCCTATTCCCAGTAGAAAATTCGGACAACAATAGGGCAGCAATTCAACCATTAAAACTCAGCATGGCAACAATTAAATGGCTTAAAATTCAGCTTTAAAAGCTGTTTCATACCAGAGAATTCTGGCAAGCCAAACCGAGCCTGGCGGGTTCAAAGGCTGGCGGGAATTGGAGAAGAACTAACACCAAATTGGAAAGAAATAAGAGCAATTAAAGTGAACCCAAGCCAAATTAAGAGAGAAAAGATGAATTTCATGGTTGTTGCTTACCCAAAATAACCGAAAATTTCACCCACCCAACAACAGGGAGCTCGCGGCAGACGGAAGAGAGCAGATCTGGAAAAATTCTGGGTTTAATAGGTGTTCTAAAACAAGAAAAGAAGGAGAAATCCCCAAGCTTTACCAGTGTTCCTGGCCGGAGATGGGTGGCGGTAGCTGGGGAGCTTGTCGGGTTGCAGGGGGTCGGGAGGAAGAAGAAGAGCAGGACACGCGTGGAAAGAAGAAAGAAAGAAAAGAAAAAAAAAAACAGGCAATCCTTATCCTATTTCCTTTCTTCAAAGTCCCTCAACTTTATAGTTTTTAGCTATTAAGCCCCAAAACAATATTTCTCCCAAAATAAGTCCCCTAACTTAATTGATAAATTCCCAAAATTTTGGGATATTATAGTATATCAACTTTGATTCCTAATCTAGTTATTTGTTATTGAATTCTATTTATATATAATTTTTATTAATTATATGCTACACTTGGTAAACTCTAGATTTTGTTGATTTAATTTTATGATTATGATTTTACAATCCTAATTTTATTTACCCGAAACAATTTTACTTAAACTATAGAATTTGACAAACTAGTATACAATTGACATACAATTGCAAAATAACGCTATGGCATCAAATAATTCTTATTAATAGTTGTCATGCCCCATAACCTAAATTCGGGGACCTAGCAGACGTCGTGCACTTGTGAGAAGGTCCCACAAATGCACAAGGCACAAAACTTATCATACCACAATCTGATACCACCAAAATCTGAAGATAAAATTATAAAATTCGCCCTGATATCATAAATCTTCAAATAAAGTATAGCTTACAAGATCATAATTTATATCTAAATTTTCATATCCAATTACAATATGACTAGCCTTCTAACTCATCACTCCCCTCATTTTTCCTCGTCCTTGACTTCGCTTCCTGAAATGGTGGACAAGAAAAAACTATGAGATAACTCAGTAAGTAAATATGGATAGCCCTTAATTAAACCTATAGCATGCCAACAAGTATAATCACGAAAAACGGATACAGTACAGGAACGAAAAAAACGTTTCCTCTATAGGTCATGGCCAGTGTCATAAACCTCCCACTGGCAGGCACACGACTTACTAGTGTATAATCTCATTAGCAGGATAATAGAAACGAACCGGTTCTATCCATAACATGTCAACATGTGCTAGCATTTATAAACCTCCCACTAGCAGGCGCACGAATAACATGACCATATTGGAGACAAAACAGGCAGAATTTAACAAAAAATTATAATTTACAGATAATTTTCAGATCATCAGGGCAGTTAAATAAACTCCAAGCAGGCATGCTCAAATCAATAAAAGAATAATAATTTATTTCAAATCAATCATACTTATGTAAAACAGGTTTAGTCCCGCCATCACTTCAAAAACAAGTTAAAATATACTTTTAAAGTCGAAGGACGTTACCATAATTTACTTACCTCAACTCCGTAATACCGAAGACCCAATCCCAGTGCCCTAAGCCATAACAGCACCTAATATTCCAAATAAAGACATTCAGACTTTGCTAGAATTATTAACATAACCTTGCAAATTTCCTAACCAATGAGCTTCACACGAAATTCAACCATATGACCAAACATCTTCAAATTTATTCTTATATTACAAACTAAGCATTTAATCCCCGTTAATTGTTGGCCATCAATGCGTGAACAGTGCCCATGAATAGTGCCTGTGAACAGTGATCACGCCATGAATAGTAACTGCACTTCCATAAATTGGCAAAACAATAGCTAATTCACGAGATTTTCTCCAAAATCTCACAGCAGTCAATTAACACTCAATCACATAAATTCCACTTGAATTAATGCTTAAATTTTGTCCTAAAGCTACCGGAATTATCCCCTAATTACTGAAAAATTTTGGACATCACAAGACAACAAATTAAATGGATAATTTTAGGCTCGGAGGAGCTGCCAACATACCAGAATTTAGCAGCAAAAACCGGAGCTGCAAGCTAGGGGAAGCCAGCGGCAGTGCAAGGGGAATTTCGGGAAATCTACCCAAAAATTGAAGGAACAAGAGGAACTTAGAGTAACCCAAGCCAATTCAAGGAAAAACAGAGAATTTAATGGCTGTTCTTACCGAAAAATCAAAGCAATTCGCACCCACAAACTGGCAAAAGCAGCAACCGGACGGACAGAGCAGAGCAGAGCAGATCTGGATTTCTGCAGAAGGGGGGGGGGAATTTCTGGATTCTATATGTGTTCTAGAACAAGAAAGGAAGGGGAAAATACCAAGCTTCCTACCAGTTTTTCTTTCAAGTATGGAAGTTGGCAGCTTGGGGGCTTTCGAGAGCTGCAGGGGAGAAAAAGAGCAGAAACGTGCAAGGCTGGGAAGAAGAAAAAATCCTCCGATCCTTATCCTAATATCTTTCACTTTTAAGCCCCTTGAAATTTAAAAATTTTGCTATTAAGTCCCAAAACAGCATTTCCTCACAATCAAGTCCTTAACTAAATGCTAAAATTCCCAAAAATTTGGGATATTACAATAGTAATGATTGCTATTACCTTTTGATGCGATAAACTATTTTGAGAATTTCATCAATATTTAACATATATAAAAGAATTACAATTAATATTGATAAATAATGTTATGATATACATAAAATATAATCAAAAGAACAAAGAATGTCTTACAAATCGATGGCATACTCTAATACCTATTTAGGTTAAATGTCAATTTTAGTTACTCAACTTTAGGCTTTTGTATGGTTTTCATCTTTCAATTATTTTAAGCATTTTTTTAGTCCCTCAACTTTAAAAAATACCCTTTTGTCATTCTTCCATTAGTTAATCTTGTAAATTTGTTTATATATGCACATTTTTAGTCCCTAAAGACTAAAAATGTGTGTATGTTATAAGTTTAGGCACTAAAAATGTGCACATTTGAATAGGTTTGATGGACTAATTGATAGAAAGACAAAAAGTGTGTATTTTTCAAAGTTGATGGAATAAAAAAATGTATAAAAATATTGAGAAGTAAAAAATTGTATAAACCTTAAAATTGAGGGATTAAAATTGACATTTAATTCACCTATTTACTAATTTTGAAATCAATGAAGAGTTGAAAATGTACATTTCAAATAAACTTCCAAATCAAATACAAACTTGCCGAATATAAGGATAATAACATTTTCCCACTCAACGCACTCTCGTGTACGGAGATAGTTTAAATGTTAGGTCTTGTTATTTGGCTTAACATGCACCCTATATAAAGGTCCGTATGAAGTTTGGGTCTTATCACATGGGCTAAAAATATGTTTAACAAGAATAACAAGAATACAACATGCTCTACTATCCTGTGAAAATTTGTCTAGTGAGCCAAGACCCAACACTTGCATCAAAAGTAAAATTAATTGGGAATACGTGGGGTAGATTTTTTTTGTACTTATGTTACTCATGTTTTTTTTTTCTTATATTTAGATGTTAGATGTGGGATTTTATCACTCAAGAGGAAAGAGATGGGAAAAATAGATCGATTTTTTGAAAACAATTATTTGATAACAATAAATTGTTTTATTAATGCAATTAACAATTAAAACTATATTTTTATAGTTAACAAATTAAATTAATAACATCTAATTTTTAAATTTAAAAATACTACATTTTGTGTCAAAGTAAAAAATATAAAAAATACATTTTAAGATTTAGGGTCATGTTACTTCTAAGTCTTGGGACTTACATACTATAAAAACAATTAGTATTTGAAGATAAAAAGCAATGTTACTCCTCTAATTAATTTAAGGACTTGTTGAAAAAAGTTAAAATTTTTAAAATAAACACTTGTTTGATGTTACATGTATCTTAAAAATTAGGCCATTTGTTGAAAAAAGGTAACAAAAACATGAAGAGACTAAGGTCTCTTTTGAAATTGTTGCAAATTGCTATGAGTTGCAATTTTGTAGATTTTTTTTGTCTTTTATTATTGTAAAAATATATAAATTATTAATTAAAATTATTTAAAATATATAAAATATCAAATAAAATTAATTAATTATCTTAATTTTACATTTTTAGGTAACATGCGATGTGAAAAAGTATCATATATATAAATCTAAAATGAAGAAATGGCGTCAAAATACTAATGTAGACCACTTTAGAAAAAAATTCAGTTTTTGAACTAAAAGAATATTTACTCAATAGTTATTAGACCACTTAAATCGATTAGTGTAACATAGGATCATGCTCCCAATATTTTTCTTAGAGTACTAGATTAAAACCTCACATCACATTTAATGTTTAAAAAACTAATCAATGAATTAAGATCATATATCAATTTTTAAATTAATTTAACATTTATAAGTTTATGATAAAAAAATTTTATTTACTAATAATACATGGTATTTAATAGTGTCAAATTTCATATAATTAATAAATTGATTAGACCTATTAAATTAATTTAAAAATTAGTATATATAAGTTACATAAATAAAATTTTAAATCCAACAATTAATTTTAAAATTTTAATTAACATTGGTTAGACCATCACTAGATTAAGAGTGGTTTTAGGCAACGACTATTTTTATATTATTTGATAGCCTTCATTTTTCTCTTCGAAATTCAAATCTAGCTTGTAATTATATGTTGTTTATATCAATAAAAAACATAACTTCTTCCACACCTTGAAGAAGAGTTCATTTTCTCATTTTATCTGGCAACACCCTGTTCCAAACAATCTACTACCATGAGAATCAATTCTATTGTTAAGCTAGTGTGCATTATTTAACATCAAGGTTGAAAGAACTATTGGGTCATCCAATCCAAACTATTAGTTACCAATCCAATTCCTATATAGAGCCTAATTCTATCAAAAGTTTGGGTTGGACCAATGGCCTAACACTTCTTCCCCAATTCTAAGGAAGACCATGGTTCAAGAAAGGCAATTAATTTCCCAAATTAATGACCACAAGAGAAGAATCAGTTGAGTTTCAATTTCGGGAAGACTCGATTAAAGCAATCAAGCACCAATAGCTCCAAATGAGTTTAAGGGTATGTTAATTTTTATTTTTTTTTTATTAATTGATATAAAAAAAATAAGTTAACTAAAAATTTTATTAATTATCTAATTTAAATTGTGTATGCAGTGTTGAAAATGAAAATTAATTTGTATAAATTAATGAGAACAAGGTATAATTTATTTAGCATTGACTACGCGCAAAGTACATTGGATTGCCTTATTAAAAAAATGAAAGATGAGAACTTTTATTATTTTTAAGGAGTTCAACAATCTTGAAATTAAGGGTTATTTTTCACATCAATTCCCCACAAATGCACTTACCGTTTTTGCAATTGCAATCTGGTTTGCAAAAAAGGTGTACATTGTCACATTGCACATCTACTTCCAACAGAAATTCCCCACAAATACACTTACCATTTTTGCAATTGCAATCTGGTTTGCAAAAAACGTTGACATTGTCACATTGCACTTCTGCTTCCAACAGAAATTCCCCACAAATACACTTACCATTTTTGCAATTGCAATCTGGTTTGCAAAAAGCGTGTACATTGTCGCATTCCACATCAGCTTCCAATAGAAATTCCCCACAAATACACTTACCATTTTTGCAATTGCAATCTGGTTTGCAAAAAACTTGTATATTGTCGCATTGCACATCCGTTGCTTCCGTTATAGTGTGTAGATCTACCATAGGATTTTGTTAATAGAAAACTCATAAATATAAACAATTTTAAAATGTTTAAAAGAAAAAATGTCCTTACCAAGTGAAAACGTTAAAAGGGTAGCTAAGAGAACGAACTTGAATGAAACCTTCTTCATTTTTTTTTTTTGAAAGTGAGTGTATTTGTATTTCTTTTGTATGCAAGAAATGATATGTTGAATAAATCTAGTCTTCAAAACTACTAATTTATAAAGCTGACCATTTACACAAATTAAGTAAGGAAATCTTCTATTATTTCTTGAATCGAAATCTATTTATACACAATTTTTACACATTACTTTCACAAAATCTTGATCATCTATCGCTTCACTATAAATGGTTGAGATTTTATCCATATTTATTTTATAAATGTCAACATTTTGTATAAGTGATGTGTACAACAATTCTTATCTTTTACTTATATTTTCTTTGGAAAGTAGAGAAAGTTGAGCGCAAAATGATATGTAGGAGCTAACTTATATGTTAATAAAATCTTTATTATATGTTAATGAAATCTTACATTCATGTCTAGGGGTTATGAATGAGAAGAAGGATTTCATATAATCATTGCACCAGCTCATTTGCATTTACGGCCAATAACAATTTATCAAGCTCACAAGAGTGGAATTGTACTTATAACTCTTTTTATCATGTAATGATATGAGAACAATCTTTTTATACAATTTTTATATGTAATTTTGACGTGTCATTAAATAAGCAAAAGATAGTTAAAAAATTAAATAAATGTGTGAATACAAACAATATCAAAGATTCTAGTAAAAGGTAAAAGAGGTAAGCATTTAATCAAATTAAGTAAGAAAATCTTCTATTATTTTTTAAGTTAGAATCTATGTACTCACAACTCTTACATACATCACTTACACAAAATGCTGACCATCCATCTCTCTACTATGAATGATTGAGATTTATTAATGTTTTATTTTATAAATGATTAAAATTTTGTATAATTAATATGAGTAAAAATTCTTATCTTTTACCCCTTTTTTTTCATTGGAAAGTATAGAAAGTTTAAAGCAAAATAGATATCCAGCATTGAACTTTTATGATATTAAAATCTTACATTCATGCCTAGGGGTTATGAATGAGGAGAAGATATTTCATAAAACTATTGCCACATATCATTTGCATTTATGACCAATAATAATTTGATAATTCCTAAAAAATGGAGTTATACATATAGCTTTTTTCTATCGTGTAGAGATACTCAAACCATTTTTTGTGTAATTTACATATATAATTTTTGACATGTTATTAAAATGAGTAAATGATGGCCAAAAAAATTAAATAAATTTTTAAATACATTTTAGTATAGTAAAAAGAATTAATTATTATATCACATATAAGAATGTAGAAAAAAAGTTGCATAAAAAAATTATCTATCATTTATTTTCTTTTCTTTTTTTTTTTAACCAACATTTCATAAAAATCTAGGGTTTAATTTGTTAGATTTTCAACGGGCTTTATGAATTTTAGCAAGTTATATTAATACAATTTTTCATTATGGCTTAAATTAATAACACATTTAAGTCAATACCTACAAAATTTCTTTAACATAATAGATCAATAATTGTATTTATATACTAAATTGATTTTAAAGCCCATGTGTTGTATGAAAATTTTTTTAAATTTTTTTTATCATATTATATAATTATTTTTATAATAATAAATTAAATAACAAGCCAAATAAACTCCCTACAGAGAGAATATAAGCATAAGAAAACAAGTAGATGGTAGTTAAGGCCCATGTGTTGTATAATTTTTATATGTAATTTTGACATCTCATTAAATAAGTAGATAGTGGGTAAAAAAATTAAATAAATATGTAAATATATACAATATCATAGATTCTAGTTAAGTTAAAAAAGCTAAGCATTTATACAAATTAAGTAAAGAAATCTTCTATTATTTCTTGAGTTTGAATCCACTTATGTACAACTCTTGCACATATCACTTACACAAAATCTCGACCATCTATCTCTCCATTATAAATGATTAAAATTTAGCAATGTTTTGTTTTATGAATGATTAATTTTGTATGACTATTATGGGTAAAAATTCTTATCTTTTACCATTTGTTTTGAAAAATATAGAAAATTGAAACAAAATAGATATGTAGCATCTAACTTATATGGTATTAAAATCTTAAATTCATGTTTAGGGGTTATTAGTGTATAGAAGGTATTTCATACAACCGTTATACCATGTCATTTGTATTTATGACTAATAACAATTTGACAATTCATGAAAAGCAGAATTGTATATATAACTTTTTTTTTATTGTGTAAAAATACTTGGGCAAGTTTTTTGTATAATTTTTATATGTAACTTTTTGACATGTTATTAAAATGAATAGATGATAGTTAAAAAATAAATAAATTTGTAACTGTATATAATATCATAAATTTTAGTAGAATGAAAAGAGCCAATTATTATATCACATGTAAAATTGTAAAAAAAAAGTTGAGTTATTTGGTTTCCAAAGTTAGTCATAAATTGAATTACTATCATTGTATATATGTACATCTTTCTTACTATAATAGAATCATTCCTTCTGCAATACATCGACTCAAGTACCTATTATCGAACAGCACACCTCATGTGATGTTAACAAATCATTATGCTCACAATTACTTCTACGACCAAATGTGAAACATTTTTATTGACACTTGATGTCTTAAAATCTTTTTATTATAATATAGTTACTTAATTGAATAGATCTGGCATAGTGGAGATTTTGATTCCTAACTCTTTCAAAATGCATAAAAGCTTTATGACCACTAGAGTCAATTCAAACTTTTTGAAGTATACTGTATTATATTATATTTTATTATACACATTTAGAATTCAATTAGACCAAATTTTGATCAATCAAACTAATTTAATCATCCAACTCATGAACTAGAGGTCAAAACAATTTGATCTTCGATTTGGTCTTTAAAACATTGCTTACATTAAGAAATAATTATTTATACAATTTGTATTTTTTCAAACTAATTGTTGGATTTAATATTTTATTTGTGTAGCTATGCATTTTAAATTTCAAAATGATATGCTTTTTGTAATTATAAGAATGAATAGAATGTATTTTTGATTATTTATTTAATGGTCTAAAATTAAGTTTAATTATAAAAAAGTTAAACACATACAATTAATTTGAAATTCAACATATATGATTTGCATGAATAAAAATATTAAATCCAATTAATATTGATAAATAATGTTCTAGTATATATAAAATATAATCACAAGAACAAAGAATGCCTCACAAATAGATGGCATACTCTAACGCCTATTTTGGTTAAACGTCAATTTCAGTTCCTCAACTTTAGGTTTTTATATAGTTTTCATCTCTCAATTATTTGAAGCATTTTTTTAGTCCCTGAACTGTTAAAAAATACTCTTTTATCATTCTTCCATTATGCAAGTTTGTTTATATATGTACATTTTTAGTCCTTGGAGACTAAAAATGTGTGTATATTATAAGTTTAGACACTAAAAATGTGCACATTTGAATGGACTTAATAGACTAACTGATAAAAAGATAATAAAATGTGCATTTTTCAAAGTTGATGGATGAAAAAAATGCATAAAAATGTTGAGCAATAGAAAATTGTATAAAACCTTAAAATTGAGGGATTAAAATTGACATTTAATCCACTATTTACTAATTTTGGAATCAAAGAAGAGTTGAAAATGTACATTTCAAATCAACTTGCCAAATATAAGAATGACAACATTTTCCCACTCAACACACCCTCATGTAGGAATATAGTTTAAATATTAGGTCTTGTTACATGACTTAACATGCACCCCACATAAAGGTTTGTATGAAGTTTGGGTCTTATCACATAGGTTAATAATATGTTTAACAGGAATAACAATAATATGGCATGCTCTACTACCCTGTGAAAATTTGACTAGTAAGCCAAGGCCCAACACTTGCATTGAAGGTAAAATTAATTGGGAATGGGTGGAGTAGATTTTTGTCTATTTATGTTACACATATTTCTTCTTAAATTTAGATGTAGAATTTTATCACTCAATAGGAAAGAGATGAGAAAAACAGATTGATTTTTAAAAAACAATTATTTGATGAAAACAATAAATTGCTTTATTAATGCAATTAGCAATTAAATTATATTTTTATCGTTAAAAAATTAAATTAACAACATCTAATTTTTAAATTTAAAAATACTACATTTTATGTCAAAGTAAGAAATATAAAAAAAATTGACTAGACCTATTAAATTAATTTAAAAATTAATGTATATATAATTTACGTAAATAAAATTTTAAATCCAACAATTAATTTTTAAAATTTTAATTAACATTGGTTAGATCATCACTAGATTATGAGTGGTTTTAGGTAACTGTTATTTTTATATTTATTTTGTAGCCTTCATTTTTCTCTTTAAAGTTCAAATCTTGTAATTATACACTATATATATTAATAAAAACCACAACCTCTTCCACGTTTAGAAGAAGAGGTCATTTTCTCATTTTATCTAGCAACACCTTGTTCTAGACAATTTGCTACCATGAGAATTAGTTCTATTGTTAAGCTAGTGTGCATTGTCTAACATCAAGGTCGAAAGAACTATTGGATCATCCAATCAAAATTATTAGTTACCAATCCAATTCCTACACAAAGCCCAATTCTATCAAAAGTTTGGGTTGGACCAATAGCCTAGCACTTTTTCCCCAAATCTAAGGAAGACCATGGTTCAAGAAAGGCAATTAATTCCCCAAATTAATGACCACAAGAGAAGAATCAGTTGAGTTTCAATTTTAGCAACACTCGATTAATGCATTCAAGCACCAACAGCTCCAAATGAGTTTAAAGGTATATTAATTATTATTTTTTATTAATTGATATAAGAAAAATAA